CTTAGAACAAATATCTGCCTCATCCCAAAACCCGACAAGGGATTAAAAATCAGAAACGATGAATACAAGATAGCGGCTTACGCCGACAACATTCTTCTAACTATCACGGATCCCAGCCAATCCTTACCACCTCTACTAACACTCCTGCAAGAATACGCACGCCTCTCCGGATATAAATTAAATTTGGAAAAAACAGAGGCCCTCCCACTAGGAATACCACAACCAGCTCTGGAACGCATAAAATTAGCCCACCCATTCAGATACAATTCGTAGAGCATTCACTACCTGGGCACACATCTCTCCGCAGACCTCTCCACAACATACACCCTAAACTACACACCATTACTTCGCCAAGCACAACTTGATCTACAAAGATGGAGCCCCATGTCCCTATCCTGGTTAGGTAGAATAGCCTCAATAAAGATGAATCTCCTCCCCCGATTCCTCTATCTATTTCAAGCATTACCCATCGCCATATCCAAACACGACTTCAAAGCACTCCAAACCATAATAGATGACTTCATCTGGTCAAGCTAAAGACCACGAATAAAGAGATCCACAATGTACAAATCCACTAAAACCAGAGGCCTAGGTCTCCCAAATTTCTACCACTACTACCAAGCGGCCCAATTGGCACAAATACCAAACCTACATGCACAGCCTGGAATTAAACTCTGGGTGGACCTCGAGCACGACCACTTGGGAAGGGACCACCCCTCACTCCTCCTCTGGCTCCCCAAGAGGGACAGACCTACCACCCCACAGACAACCGGATAGTGAACACTCCTCTCACGCCAATCCTGAGAAACAAACAGTTTCCCCCAGGCATGTCACCCCAAGATTTTGCGCGCTATGAGGACAATGGACTCTACAGATTCTTTCAGTTCTTCCAAGGCCGACAACTCCAACCATTCTTAGACCTACCGAGGCAGACACCACTAAATCCCTTGACCACTTCCGCTACCTACAGATACGTAACTTCCTTAACGAACCACACAACACTGCCACGGCCACCACTACACTAACATAATTTGAAAAGGCTTGCATACATGCACTCATTCAAAAAGGGCAAATTTACACTATATACCTCCTCCTGAACGCAAACTCCCCTGAGGATGTCCTCTCATACACAAAAGCATGGGAAAGAGACATAGGCCCCCCGGAGGACCCCTCATACTGGGCGGACATATGGGAGGCCACAGCCTCACTCACAATCTGTGTTAACCATAAGGAGCAAGCCTACAAAACATTGCTTCGGTGGTACCTCACACCCCTGAGACTGAAACAAATGGGTCGCATAGACACAGATTCCTGCTGGAAGAGATGCTGACTCAGGGGCACATATCCACCTATGGTAGGAATGCCCCCAGATCTCCCAATTATGGGGACAGGTCTCCAGTCTTACCGCTAGGATACTACACACGGACGTACCCATGGATCCCTGGATCTGGTTACTCTCCAAACCCATCACCCCCCTTACCAGAGCCCAGAACAAACTGGTGGAGAGACTGGCCACCAGACGTACGATAGTGGAACAATGGGGCAACCAGAACACACCCCTGCTATCGACTATGATCAAAAAAACCACTGAAACCATGGAGATGGACAAATTGTCGGCCCTGCTCCATGACACAACACAAAATCTGGGACCCATGGATCCAGGACCACCTGCTTAGGGTTTGAGCCGAGGGCCCGGGGATGGGAGACTACCTTGCAGACACACACACAGCGCACCCAGACACACACAGCGCACCCAGACACACACAACACCCCCAGACACACACAGCACACCCAGACACACACAGCACACCCAGACACACACCACCTTGCACCCCCCTAACCCTATCCTACTACCGCCCCAACCCCTCCCACCCAACTCAACCTCCCCCCCATACCACAACCATAATCACCCGCATCCCACTAACACATAGAAAGTTTACCCATAATACCTGCAAACAACAAAGGGAACATTAGCTAGATCACACCCCCAGCCAATGCAAGGACACTACAAATAGCATTAATAACTTGCATATAAATGCCCAATGACACTCACAAGACACTGTCCGTAACAAGTATAAGGGGGCTCAGCCCCGAATACAATCAGAACACAATACCCACCCACGACAAACGAAGCCAAGGGACGCACAACATAAAGACAAATACCCCAGTTAAGACCTCCCCACCCTTCAAGCCCACACCAACAAACAGACCACAAAAAAAACCTCACACAACAAACAGAGAATTGCCTCCACCTATAGACACAAAGATTCTATGAACCAAAACCTCACGTGGGTCTCCATACATGACAAACGCTCTCAGATCACAAAAAAGGTCATTACCAGCACGAAGCAACTACCTGTATGAAACAATCATGATGTACTTAATGTTAAACCTTCTCACTGAGTCTATTTTGACAAACACCCCTCCCTTATTCTTCATTCTGTATCCCACACAAACTGCGATAAAACCGAAAATAAAGAATTTACAAAAAAAGTAAAAATCTTAGATCTTTGAGTTCATCTCATTAAAAATGGGGGCAAAAACAAGTGTTGCGTTTATAATTTTGTTTAGTGCAAAATTTCAGATAAATTCAGAATCAAAAGTAATGACAAGACCAGGGACATATACAATGAGACGTATACAAGAGGGGTGCAAGAGCCTATCAAAGGGATGTAAATATTATTTTCATGTTTTAGCCCACAATAGTTGAACGGAAATTATTCTCAAAAATCTTAAAGTATAAAATTCACTTTGAATTTAGTAAATACGCCTGAAAAGAGTCATGACTTTATAATACAGCCACAATAGATGTTAATTTATTCTCCAAGGACTCTGGCTGGTGCAGTGATCGCAAACCTATGGCATGAGGTTTACCTGTGGCGCTCAGAGGCCACTTTAGTGGCACATTATACACAGGGGGAATACAGGAAACTCTGTGCAATAAAGCACTTGTTGTGCCGTAACACCGCAGCAGTAATTACATCAGCAAACAGTGTGTAATTTTCACTTGGGACTTTCAGGCTCACTCTGGAGAATGTTGCTTCATTGTTACAGGGACACTAGAAGAATAAAGCAGCCTTTGAATTGTTTGAGCTTTTTTCCCCACTGGAAGATGTAGATCCATTGACATTTGGATTCAATAAGGCCATGGTTAGGGGCAGACTCAGTGCAAGGACATTCCTTTTTACAGTGAGGGACCACCTCTCTAAATGTAATTTGAACTATAGGCTTTATTCATTGACCTGAGTAACATGGATCCCCCTGGCAAGTAACCCCAATTGTTCATTAATCTAGAGCAGGGGGGTAGGCGACTGTCATCAACAGGTCAAACAGCTACTTTGATTCTTGGTCCTCGACACCAGGGTCTTTTTTTTCTACCTTTTATAGAGAAGCACCCCTGCAGGTCTAAAAGAAATCCTCAAGTAATTTTCTGTTAACTTCAATACCAAATGAAACGTGCAGACATGATATTTAAGTTAATCCCATATTGGAAAACAAGCTTGATTAAAGGTAGTAAAGAATATTTTTAAAATAAATATAATATTGTGCATGTAAGGCAGAGTGTATTTATCTGAAGTACAAATGTCACAAAATGAAAATACACGTAATAGTTACCCACAGGCCCTCACATACATATACACTCTCACACACTCAAATTAATTTTTTAAAATTAAGTACACCCAGCCTCCCTACCTCTGGAAGAGCTGAAATGCATCCTTTACCTGTGGTCAATTGTGGGGCTTGTTTAATCTTTGTGCTCTTTCAGTACTGCTCCCTTATATAGAAACATAGAATGTGACGGCAGATAAGAACCATTTGGCCCATCTAGTCTGCCCAATTTTCTAAATACTTTCATTAGTCCCTGGCCTTATCTTATAGTTAGGATAGCCCTATGCCTATCCCACGCATGTTTAAACTCCTTTACCGTGTTAACCTCTACCACTTCAGCTGGAAGGCTACTCCATGCATCCACTACCCTCTCAGTAAAGTAATACTTCCTGATATTATTTTTAAACCTTTGTCCCTCTAATTTAAGACTCTGTCCTCTTGTTGTGGTAGTTTTTCTTCTTTTAAATATAGTCTCCTCCTTTACTGTGTTGATTCCCTTTATGTATTTAAATGTTTCTATCATATCCCCCCTGTCTCGTCTTTCCTCCAAGCTATACATGTTAAGATCCTTTAACCTTTCCTGGTAAGTTTTATCCCGCAATCCATGAACCAGTTTAGTAGCCCTTCTCTGAACCCTCTCTAAGGTATCAATATCCTTCTGAAGATACGGTCTCCAGTACTGTGTACAATACTCCAAGTGAGGTCTCACCAGTGTTCTGTACAATGGCATGAGCACTTCCCTCTTTCTACTGCTAATACCTCTCCCTATACAACCAAGCATTCTGCTAGCATTTCCTGCTGCTCTATTACATTGTCTGCCTACCTTTAAGTCATCAGAAATAATCACCCCTAGATCCCTTTCCTCAGATGTTGAGGTTAGGACTCTATCAAATATTCTGTACATTGCCCTTGGGTTTTTACATCCAAGATGCATTATCTTGCACCTATCCACATTAAATGTCAGTTGCCACAACTCTGACCATTTTTCTAGTTTACCTAAATCATTTGCCATTTGGCTTATCCCTCCTGGAACATCAACCCTGTTACATATCTTAGTATCATCAGCAAAAAGACATACCTTATCATCAAGACCTTCTGCAATATCACTAATAAAAATATTAAAGAGAATGGGTCCAAGTACAGATCCCTGAGGTACTCCACTGGTGACAAGCCCAAGCTTCGAATATACTCCATTGACTACAACCCGCTGTTGCCTGTCACTCAGCCACTGCCTTACCCATTCAACAATATTGGAATCCAAACTTAAAGATTGCAGTTTATTGATAAGCCTTCTATGTGCAACAGCGTCAAAAGCCTTACTGAAATCTAGGTAAACAATGTCTACTGCACCACCCTGATCTATAATTTTAGTTACCCAATCAAAAAAATAAATAAGATTAGTTTGGCATGATCTCCCTGAAGTAAACCCATGTTGTCTCTGATCTTGAAATCCATGTTTTTAGATGTTCAACAATCCTATCCTTTAACATGGTTTCCATCACTTTCCCCACTACTGAAGTAAGGCTTACTGGCCTATAGTTGCCCGACTCCTCCCTATTACCTTTCTTGTGAATAGGCACAACATTCGCTAACTTCCAATCTTCTGGGACTACTCCTGTTAACAATGATTGGTTAAATAAATCTGTTAATGGTTTTGCTAGTACACCACTAAGCTCTTTTAACAGCTTTGGGTTTATTCCATCAGGTCCCATTGACTTATTTGTCTTTACTTTTGACAGTTGAAATAGAACCTCTTCCTCTGTAAACACACGTGTAATAAATGACTCATTCATTCTTTTATCCCTTTCCTTCATTTTCATCTAAAAATACCGAACAAAAATATACATTGATGCAGTCAGCTAGACCTTTATCCTCTTCTACATATTTTCCTTCTTTTGTTTTTATTCTAACTAATCCTTGTTTTACTTTTCTTTTCTCATTTATGGATCTAAAAAAAGTTTTGTCCCCCTTTTTTACTGACTGTGCTATTTTCTCTTCTGTGTGTGATTTGGAAGCTCTTATAACTTGCTTAGCCTCTTTCTGCCTAATCTTATAGAGCATTCTGTCTTCCTCACTCTGTTTTTTTTTTTTTTTAATAACTAAACTAACTTTTTGTTTTTTACTATTTTGGCCACATCTGCAGAGTACCACAGTGGTTTCTTGAATTTTTTGCTTTTACTGACAAGCCTAATGCAATTTTCTGTTGCCTTCAGTAGTGCAACTTTTAAATAATCCCATTTCTCTTGGACTCCATTTAAATTGCTCCAGTCTGATAATGACTCCTTTACATATATTCTAATTTTAGAAAAGTCTGTTTTTCTAAAGTCTAAAACTTTTGTTTTTGTGTGTTGTGACTTAGTCACTGTTCTTATGTTAAACCACACTGAATGATGATCACTGGATCCTAAACTTTCACCTACAGTAATATCTGATACCAAATCTCCATTTGTTAACACTAAATCTAGTATGGCCTCTTTACGAGTTGGCTCCTCAATGACTTGTTTTAGAGACAAGCCCAGTAGGGAGTTTAGAACAGGCCCGGACTGGCCATTGGGCATACCGGGCAAATGCCCGGTGGGCCGCGATGGCCGTGGGGCCGAGGCCGGCAGGGGAGATAACAGAATCTCCCCTGCCAGCCCCTGCAGGGCCAGCGCTACCCGAGCGCCGGCCCTGCTGTGTGCCTTCATGGGCCGGTGGGGAGATCAAAGATCTCCCTCACCGGCCCACAGGCACTGTTACAGGCGCTGGGGAGGGCGAGAGGGAGGAGGGAGGACCCGGCAGAGCTCTAACCAGCAGCTCCGCCGGGTCCTCTTACGGGATTCTGAGCATTGCCGCGGTTACCACGGCAACGCTCACTCTCACCACTGGACCACCAGGGAAGGCAGCATGGCCCCCCACCCCCCAGGCAGAATAGATCTCCTTCCCCCCCCAGGATAAAGGTAAGAAGGGGATATAATTTTTTTGATTTTTTATTAATACATTTTTTTTTAATTTAAATAAAAAATACATTCACTCACACAGCACAGCACCCAGACACAGCACCCCCCGACAGACAGCACCCCCCCAGACACAGCCAGCACCCGCAGACACACACAGTACCCCTAGACACACACAGTACCCCTAGACACACACAGCGCACCCAGACACACACAACACCCCAAGACACACACAGCGCACCCAGATACACACCGCACCCAAACTCACACTGCACCTCCGGACACACACAGCGCACCCAGACACACACACACCGCACCCCCAGACACAGCACCCAAACTCACACTGCATCCCCAGACACAGCACCCAAACTCACACTGCACCCCCAGACACACACAGCATCCCCAGACACACACACACCGCACCCCCAAACTCACACTACACCCCCAGACACACAAACTCACACTGCACCCCCAAACACACACAGCACCCCAACTCACACTGCATCCGCAGACACACACAGCACCCAAACTCACACAGCGCACCCAGACACACAGCGCACCCAAACACACACAGTACCCCTAGACACACACAGTACCCCTAGACACACACAGCGCACCCAGACACACACAACACCCCAAGACACACACAGCGCACCCAGATACACACCGCACCCAAACTCACACTGCACCCCCGGACACACACAGCGCACCCAGACACACACACACCGCACCCCCAGACACAGCACCCAAACTCACACTGCATCCCCAGACACAGCACCCAAACTCACACTGCACCCCCAGACACACACACCGCACCCCCAAACTCACACTACACCCCCAGACACACAAACTCACACTGCACCCCCAAACACACACAGCACCCCAACTCACACTGCATCCGCAGACACACACAGCACCCAAACTCACACTGCACCCCGACACACACAGCGCACCCAGACACACACAGCACCCAGACACACACACATATATATGTATGTATATATATATATATATATATAAAATAACCCTGTGAGTTAACAGACAAAGAAAATTAGAAACCTAGAATGTGACAGCAGATAAAAACACCCTCACACATACAATAAGTCCAAATATATACATATATACACACACACACACTACACACATTACGTTCCAGATACACACTAGATCCCTTACCCTATATGCACTCTTAATCCTCTACACACACACACACACACTGGGTCCTTTACACAGTAGATCTCCTACACACACACACTACATTCCTTGTCAGCAAACACATACAACATTCTCTAAACACACCCTCTCTGCAACCCCTACACACACTACGTCACCTATACACACACACACTTCAGCCCCTATACACACACTCTCTACAGCCCCTTGCCACACATATTACACCACAAACACAAATGAAATGGACCTATTTACACAATACCACACCACACTCTACACACACGCAATCCCACAAGCAGGCTCCAAACATATGCACCATGCACTTTCCTGGCCCTTTTGTCCTCTGGTATCCCACTTGTGGAGACACCAGAGACAATTTAAAAGCAAACACAGCGCAAGCATGTTATTAAATTTGCTTGCGCTGCGCAGAACAAATTCAGGGACTTTTTCTAATGCCAGAGCTCTTCAGCAGGGCTCTGGGCATTGAACCAACATGCTCACTTTGAGAAGGTGCGTGCTTGTCATTAGTGATGACAAAACACACACTCTCTGGCCCCGCCCCCTTCTTAGGGGGCCGCTCTGATTGAAAAATGCCCGGGCCTAATTTTTTTCACAGTCCGGCCCTGGTTTAGAATATGTGTGCTCCTGGCACAAGCAGCTATTTTTGTTTTCCAAGTCACATCAGGAAGATTAAAGTCACCCATGATGATAACTTCCCCCTTCTTTGTCATTTTAGCCATTTCCTCAACTAGTAGATTATCTAACTCTTCAATTTGTCCTGGGGGCCTATAAATCACACCTACACGAGTTACTGTGTGATTACCAAATTCTAACGTAACCTTAACGGACCCTATGTTCGCCTCACTAACTTATTATGCTAGATTTAATGCTATCCTTCACATACAGGGCCACACTTCCTTGCCTTCCCTGTCTTTTCTATATAAAGAGTACCCTGGTATTGCTATGTCCCAGTCATTTTTCTCATTATACCATGTCTCAGTAACAGCGACTAAATCTACACTATCAGTTGCCATTATTGCCACAAGTTCATGGATCTTATTCCCTGAACTGCGAGCATTTGTAGACATGACACTAAGCTGATCATTTTGACAATTAATGACAATTAATTATGTAGAGCAACAGACTGTGCAATCTGCCTTTTATCCACAACTCTAAGTCTACCAGATCCTACAGTAATCCATCTGCCATTCCTAGCACGTCTCTGCGGCAGTGGCTTTGCAGCAGTTCCAGCCTGAGTTTGTTTACCAGATAATTTACAAATCTCAGACTTCAAAAATACAATCTCCTGCCTCAAGATAGAGAACGGTCTACAGATTAGACAACAACCAAACCTCCAAAAAGTGGAACGTGAAACAAATGCATAGCAACTATTACACTGAACTAAGTCTGCCATTACAATGAGGTGAATAAATTAAATCAAACGAATCTTAACTTATTTATCCTCCTGAATACCTCAGATTACCTCCAGAATATCTCCAACCACACACTTAGAAGCAACACTTAGATGAAGCAACCAAGCTATCCCGCTGTGTAGTGATGCTCGTACCAGAGTGATGTCAAAAGAGCTCCCAGCATCACTGCAGGGCATGAGATGGAGCAGTGCTGGAAGATCATTAAGATTACAGCTCCATTGCCATTTCTCTCTCTCCGGATATTTTATTTGGGCAGAAAAGGCACTTGCTGTTTAGGTAAGAAAGTGACTACTCTGTCTTCGTGCACTGCCAGCTCTTTGCGTACCCCCTGCATTTGGTGCATGTAGTATGTGTATCACTGGTTGAGAAACCAGACAACACAGCACAGAAAGCTGAAATACAAGTAACCACTACAGCAAAACTAACGTTTTCAAGAAATTATGCATGAAGGAGTCCCATCCTAAAAGACTACATGTCACATTTTTCTATTCCCTTTGTTCTAGACTGACGGAAGCTCCATGTTAGGGCCCGGGAAATTACACATAGCAATCCCCCCCTCCCCAACTGTCAAGACAATTAACCGGTTTGATCTGCAAATCATTTATTTGTGAGAATTCACAATGACCAGGTGTGATGATATTAAGGCATTGGTGCACCATTACGGTCAACCTCTGCCATGTCTACAGGATCCAGACATGTCCTGTATACTGTGGTGATGAGGATCTGCTATACACAAGTTGTGAAAATTCCCTTATTTTCCTTGCTGACAAAAGGCAGACAAGTTATCTAAAGTTTTTCACAAACCAATTTCCCTCACACCAGTGAGCTATTTAAACAATAAAGACTCTTACAGTTGGAGAACCAACCTACCCTCCGCAAAACGTCAAAGTGACAGATTTACTCCACCAAACTTCAGACTCAAATAATAACATTTGTGCATCACCTACCTGGACCGTTTTGTTTTTTTAGCACCATCCCCCAATACCAGTTTTTATTGTAGAAAGTATTGTAAAAAAAGACGTTTCACATTTACGTACAGTTTTGACATACTGCGCCTTACTTAAGAAAATACTAGAATAT